GTACTGTCACTTATTCTGTATTTGTTTGATAATCTGGTCTCTATTTACGATTGGAACAAACGGCTTCATCCAAAACAAAACAAAAATTCTAGTGAATATTCCTAGTCATAGCCCAAAGATAGTTACAGTTATGATGTATTTCCACATTTCTGATGTCATTGCCTAGATGGAAAGTGATTTTGGTTGATGTCATCTCACCAAAATTGTATGTGGGTTAATCCAAGATTCTGGGAATGAGCAGCAAACTGACATATAATATGAATATGAAAGCATTTTCTAAGGAGTCTTATAGAATGTGTTCTAGATCTAGCACTATTGTTAAGAATAGAAACAACATAATTTTCTTAATTCATGTGACTGTGTTGCAAGTATAGAAGTCAATAGATTTTCTCCCACTTGTCATTTATATGCTGCATTTATGTACCAGCTATAAAATAAAGATATACAGGCAGAGAGCATCCTTTTTTAATTATAGCAGAATAACACTAGTGGAAGATAATAGGCAGTAATTTGTTTGCAAAGACTAGCACAAATGAGTCCTAGATGATTACTTATAAATAAAATATTTCTCATTAAAAAGTATTGGTGAAGAATCTTGGTCCCAGATACATTACAGGAAGAAAATCCTGTTAATTTCAGTGAATACAAGATTTTGCTTTTTGATGATTTGTTATTACAATAATTTAATAGCATCTCAAGAGGAGACTTAAATCTAATTTGTCAGCTTGTCTGCACAGTTTATTTGTTTGCACTGCATTCTGGTATTCTTTGAAGTTAATTTTATTAAATTGTATAAAATGCAAAAAGCAGCCTAAGCAATATATGAATAATAATTGGGAAAAGGATTTCTATCTTATTGGTTGTTTTCAGTTTTATGCATGATACATACTGTATTTGTTTTAAAAGATTGTCTTCTTACAGTGCGTTTTTCAAGACATGGATTAATTATGTCATATTTTCTGTGACCACGCTGGGAGTATGCCAATCGTGGCACTGGTGGCATTTTCAGTGTATGCCACTTGCTGAATTGGACTGCTTGCTGTTGTTTCTAAATTCTATCTCTACTCATTAAATGAGAGTTCACTTTTCAAGGCAATAAATAATTCATACCGAGTTCTCCTCTTCATCTTCCATCAAGGCATCATAATGTTGTGTGCCATTACTTGGAAGGTGTATCAGGATCCTCATGAGTAGCTGATGCCACTGTCTACAAAAAAATCTTTTTTTAAATTCGGTTGCAATTTGTGCTTTAAAAGGAATTGGCACCTGGTTCACTTGTCAAGTCTATTTTCGGGCAAACAAAAATTTACTGCTTCCTATAAATGCTGTATACAGACCTGTAAAAAATTCTCAGTGATGCAGGTTATGCACAGTTACTGAGGGAAGTACTTGAAGAGAACAGGCTGTTTTTGTCAGCTAAAAGTAGCCCTATGACTGTTGAGCTCAGTAAAACTGCAACTTCAAACCAGTAAGTACTTCTGCTTATATTCCATAATTCCAGAAAACTGATTTAGAAATATTTTATATAATACACATTTAGCTCTTTGACAATTTTTAAAAAATCTGGCATGTTTTACAAATGTACTTATTGGTTAAAAGTCAATATGTACACATATATATATTTGTACAAAATTATAACAGCCTATGATAACTTTCTGAGGCAATCATTTAACAGATGGCTCTGAGGAATCTGATATTCAAAAACATGAAAAAATAATGACTGTGACAGTGGTATAGATCAGTATTCCCAAGGATACCTATGCCTAATGCAGGAGAATTAGCCTTTAAAATTAGAATTTGGAAGAGTCACCACAGTGAACACTGTAACACTGAAGTCATCCCATAGGATCATGAAAGATAACCCGTGAAATTCTCTCTCTCATGTGTTAATGTCACTGCTGTAGTTACAAATCTGTGTGAAACTGGTGCTCAGGTGAGTAGGTCTGATCTCTCCTTTCTTACTTTGCCACTATGAAGTAGTCAGTGAAAATGGATAGGTCTAGTCCCTGTTCACTGCTTATGCATTTTACAGCAATGAAAATGAAAAGTAGAAAAGAATCACACTCAGAACATATGCAACCAGAGGAATTAATCCAGTCATCCCCAAGATACTTTAAGAGCGATGTGACTGCAGTCACAACATTCTGCACCCCTTATACATGTGCTACACATGCAAAATGTGCAGTTCTGGCTACACAGGGCAGCACTTCAGCCTCTTTGGTAGGAGAAAATATTTAAATGTGTCTTACTGGGCATATGACTAACTAATTTACCCAATTTTCACTATCTATAATTTGAACATCTAGTTTAAGTGGTTTAAGCTATCTGTTGCACTTTTAATGAAGTATATTGAAATAGACACACATCCAGACTTTACTATAATGAACCAGTTCTCCCCATTTTAAACCAAGATGTAGGCTCTGTTATTCAGAGATTCTCTAGAAAAAGAAGTAGCCAGGGTGACTAACTTGAAATACTTTGTATTCCTGACTTAGTAACTTAAAGCTCATAACATTTCCCTATTTCTTTTTATGCAAATGACTGCTCCCATGTGTGGACAACTTTGAGGGAAAGCATGTTGAAGATCACTCAAAAGGAGTAGATAATTCTTTCATGTGGGAATCATTTCATGCATTGTCAATAGCATTTTTTTCCTCACACTTTAGATGAAGAGCATTTAATTGTCTCTGCAGAGACTGTCAGTTCTAGGAGCTTGTTTTAATATCTTGATGTTGAAGTGCAGTTTTGTTGGGATTAGTTCTCGCCACACTATAGAGGTCTGCAGTGTTCTTAAGTTAAGAGCCTTTGCAAAGTGGGAGTCTCCAAAAACAATGTTATGCATAAATTGAAGTGTGTTTCTGAGCTGTGCCTGTTGTTTGGTGTGACTGTCATTCTCTTTCCTCTGAATGGGAATGAAGTGCATGGCAAAACTGCATGGAAATGTCAAAGTACTTCAGTTCTATACATCCTTCATCTTCATTCAAACTTAATCTGACTGGGAATAAGGCCAGGTACCCTGGGATTTTGCCTGCACATCTAAGGGTCCTTGTTAATGCTGCATCTCTCTCCTGACCTCTCCATATATCATCAGAGAAGAGAAAGATGATAGCTCATTTCTTGATTGTTTTCTCCTGAAATGAAAAGACAATCAGTGCCCTTTACATTTCTCATCCAGGAAATTACATACTTAAGTAGATTTGCTGTCCCTGCAGAAAGGCAATGATCTTGATCTTCTGACAAGATTTGTTGAATTTGTAAACCTGTAAAAGATAAAAAGAGTTTACAAAGCAGGTAGGAATACAGCCACCTGAATGATGTTATATACTGGATTGCTTTGCTTTGTTTTGTTTTTACCTCTCCATTTGTATAATATAAATAAACATCTTGGATCAAACAGCATCTAAGTAATTTCAGACACATAGAAATGAAGGAAGGTATTCTATTTTCTGTAGCACAGATTGGTGGGCTCAGGAGGACAGCATTTGAAACAAATAGGATATATTTTCACACAAACTGCCAAATTCCTCTAGTTTATGTGAAACAGAATGTCCTTAATTCTGTTTATGGCAGATAGGAACTCACCTGTCATATACGCACAGAGAATTAAAGTGGTTCTGAGACTAGGGTTCTTTTTTTTCATCTAGAAGGGGCAAGTATAGAGACACAATTTTGGAGAAAAATTCTAGCACTTGCTTTGTGTGTACTGCACAGTTAAGATGTTGTCCTTGTGGTTTCTTTTCTTGTCAGGTTGCTACAACAAACACAACAAACTTTATTCAGCTTGGTGCAGGGTAGAGATTTTGGCCAGTCTTTGACAGAAAGAGACCAACACATCCTGAAGCAAAGGGGCCTGCATAGATTTAGGGACTTAAAAATTTTACCTCCCCCATATTCTGTTTAATTCCCAGTAGACAGTAAATCATTTCTAGATAAAGACTAAGGGCATGGATGAAAATGTCATCCTACACCCTTGGGACGAAATAATTTAAAAACCCTTAGACAAAAGGGTTGTATTAAGTTTCTGTGTTGTCCTATGCCTGTGAAATTAGAGTTCATCAAAGTAATAGCATGTGATAATGACCTCCTAATTATGTGAAATATAATTGGAATCACAATGAAAAATTTTAACAATCCAAAATATTTGTAGGGTGGAGGATATCTTTAAATGAGGTTGAAAAGAAAAGAAAAAAAAAAATAGCTCTTTTCCATTTAAAAAAAAAAAAAAAAATAGCTCTTTTCCATTTTTAAGCAGAGCAGTTTAAAAATGTTATTTCTACATAAATTCACACTACATATTTATATAGTTATATTTATATAATTATATTTATATTTATGTAGTTATAATTTTAAACAGATGTTTTTCTAGACAGCTGTAAATTATATTAGTTGCATATTTATTTTGTAAAGCATTATGTCTTTTTCAACAAGACACAATGCATTTAATAATATAATTATTTGAAAGGTCACTGATACTGTTAGAATTAATAATTCGCTCAAATTCCTCACTAGAGCTCTTATAAATAAACTCAAAATATGTTCTCATTAAAGAGCTTTCTTTTGTTATTTTATCCTTTAAAAATAGGTATTTGTTTTTAGTGTGATATGCCCTTTATGTAATACTAGATTTTTTAGCATGAAAAGAGGGGGCTTGTATGTCACATCAACACTTCAGATAGAGTAGGGAATCCACAGATCATCAGTGGAAAAAAATCCTTCTCTTTTTTTTTAATCAGAATTAAATATAGATAAAGGAATTTCAGGGTAAATTTCACAAATGTAGTCTGACAGGTGTTATTCAAGCACTGCCAAAGTATAATATACCCATGTGATTAAAGGAACATATGACCACAGAACACTACATTTGTTTAATTTTGCACCATAGAGGTGTTAAAACTTTCCTTGGAAGGAGATCAGCTATTTGTAATGCAACTTTCAATGATAACTACATTGACTTGCTTGTGTATGTTTTTTTATATTCTGGTTTATTTTTTTCCCTTTAGGCTGTGCTTTGGAGGTACAAGTTTTCCCAGCTCAAAGGTTCTTCAGATGATGGGAAGAGCAAAATCAAATTTTTGTTCCAAAACCAAGATACTAAACAAATTGAAGCAAAGGTAAAAACAATACATTGTTTGTATAATGGCAATATATAATTTTCAAAGCACCTAGGGGAGGCAGGAAGTATAATAAACTAAGTTGCTTGGAAATATTAGGTTAATGCACAAAGAATGCAAAGAAAAAACAGCGAAATTTAAGAAAACTGAACAAATTATTTTTATCTAGTTAAAAGTCTTTTGCAAGTTGTAATTAGATTTAAAAATAATAAAATACAGGACTTACGGGATATATGGGTTTAGGGATGTTTTCCAACTCTCTTCTTTGTCATTATGATAAAGCTATCTGAGAGCTTGAGTTGTCTGTTTTTTCACCCTATAATTGTATCACGAAAAATGGTGGAAAATATGTCCTTAAGTTAATCTGGGAGCAAAACCCTTTCAGCAAGGGTTGAAAATTTGTTTTTATTTCTCAGAGGGGAAAAAAAGTGTGGATTAAATACATATTTCCCAAAAAGACTGAAGCTTTGTCTCTGTGTCTAATGCAAAATCAGAAAAGTTGTATTTCAAGTTGTGCTTTTGACTCAAGTGTTAATTCATTAAAACAGTAGCCATAAGACATTTAAGCTTACTTCAGTTTTGAGAATAAGGGCATTTACTGTCCCAATGTGTGTGAGAAGTGATCTCCCCAGCTCTGTGATGATTGGAACTGCTTAAGAGTCTGGGTCAAAGCTATTTTTTGACTAGAATCCAAATTTTAGTGTAAACCTAGTGACTATTTTCTTGTCGATGTCTAAACTTTGCTTTTAAAGCATTTACTGTAATGTTTTTTTTGCCCATGTCAAAGACAAAATTGATGAATGAACAAAACGGTTCCATAAGCAAAAAGGAATTAGTTAAATAGTCTATAAGTGTCATCCTTTTGAATTATATGTGTCATCTAAATCACTTACGGATACATAAGAATGTTGGACATAGACAAGCCTTAGAGATATCCTGGCGCCTTTACTGTACCTATTGTTGCTTCCACTCAGATTGAGTTCTAGAAAATTCTGCCAAACTTTTATTAAGGTAGAAATACTACCTTACACCTTATGAAGCCAAATTTTTATACAAACCTGCTAGCATGCTTATTAAGATGCTGTTATGTTCCCTGGTTGCTGCTCTTTACGGTAAATTTAAACTTTCACATTACTCAATTTGGAAATAAAAAAAATTTAAATTTTCATTCATTTTCATGGTGATCAAGGCATATCTACTATATGCAAAGATGTGAGGTTTTATTCTCTTTGGAAGATGCTACAGCATTTATAATGAGCACTTCTATCAATTCCAATTTGTTAACATATTAAGTATGTTGCTTAGTCTAAGAAATGTAGGTAAATGTGTCTGTAAAATGAACATGAAGGTCCTTGGGTCTTATATTTTCAACACTGATTGGCTTACAATTTTGTGGATAACCCCCTTCTGTATCCTTTAAACCTTTCATAGATTTAAAGCACTATTCATCATAAGAAGTGGAACAGTCTGGCTTCTATTTTTTTGCTTTACATTGCTGAGTTAGAGATATAGCTACTTGTAGAGCTGTGAAGCCATTAGGAAATGTTAATCAGATTTTCAGAAATATTTGTAATGCCAGATTTCATGAATACTGTATGCAGGCTTCATTTGAAATCAAATGGAAATTTGTAAAACATCTGTTAAAGGTTGTGATGAATATTCATGCCACAGCTATCATCACCTGTTAAATGCAGTCCTGTGTTGCAGTTGGCCTGGAGACCCAGTGCTGTAACATTTTCTTTATGATTCTATTCTTTTTTCCCAAGTTAAAATGCACAGGCAATAATCAGAATGTAGTGAAAGGAGAACCCAGCAGAGAATAAAACCAAAAATTTGAGGAGCCATTCCACCAATGTATTAAGGCTCTTCACTTATTCATTCCCAAGCAGCAATGTGGAAGCAGGACATAGCAGGTAACTTTCCAGACACCACAAATACTGTGCTCAGTTTTAGGCCACTCACTAAAATAAAGACATTCAGGTGGCTAAGTGAGTCCAGGAAAGGACAACAGAGCTGGTGAAGGGTCTGAAAGACAAGTCTGATGAGGAGCAACTGATGGAACTGGGGTTGTCTAGCCTGGAGTACAGAAGGCTCAGGAGAAATCTCATTGCTCTCTACAACTGCCTGAAAGGAGATTATAGACAGGTGGGCTCAGCCTGTTCGCATTAGTATCAAGCAATCAGAGAAGATGAAATGGCCTCAAGTTGCATCAGGGGAGGTGTAGGTTGGATATTAGGAACAATATCTTCACCAAGAGCATTGTCAATCATTGGAACAGGTTGCTTAGGGAAGTGGGGGAATGACTCTCCCCAGAGGGATGGCACAGATGTGTAGATGTGGTACTTGGGGACATGGTTTAGTAGTGGACTTGGTAGTGCAGGATTAACCACGGGACTCATTAAACGTCCTTTCCAACCTAAGAGATTCTATGCTTCTATATAGTAGCTTTACAGAAAAATATGAGTTATCAAAATCCAAATTCTCCCTGTCTTCCTTCATTTATAATGCAGAACATTTTATGTATCTCATGCTTTCCCAGATGTGTGTGATTATGACATGTTGAACCTGTTTGATAATACCCTTTAGCTTTAAAACACTTATTCATGATCTGCAGAATCAAGAGTGTCAAAATACTCAGCTATTGAATTTTATATAAAAACTTAGATAAATTTGTTATTATTTTGGAAATGTCTTCCAACTTGTAGATATACATTGCTTGGGAAATAAAATGGTCATGCAACAGAATTTTGAATTTTAGCCACACTATCTTCATAATTGTCCAGCATCTCCTCTGTATTTTGGTGGAATATGCAGAGATATCAGTGTTAATGTTAGAAAAATCTAGGAAAAATACATTTTGGGATAAAGTCCAGTACCACATATATTCATCAGTTAGATTTTTTGGTTTTGTTTTGTTTTGTTTTTGAGAAAAACACTTTCCACCAGATTTTATATTCCTATGTGATAGAAAGTCTTTCACTGACACTGAATAGCTAATTCTTTTATAATACTGTCAATATTTTATATAGTGTGCTTCATGCCTGACTTAAAAGATTCAAAATGGCATGCTTTGAGACATGCAGCATGTGCTATGGATTTAGTTACAGTTAAACTTATTTCCCATTATAGTTCTTTTCAGCTTTAAAATAATTTCAGGTATTTATACATTTCAAACACTGCCCTTTTTTTTCCTGTAGAGACATTGTACTCATGCTTTTGTTTGGCTTCTGTCTCAGTGAAATCATGTTACTATATATATGATGTAGACTAAAAGAAGGGTTCCTCATGGATTTAAGCAGTTCCACTCATAAAATCCGAACAATAATTACCATAGGTCACACCAGTGGGTCTATGGCAGGGTGCCTTAAAACAAACACCTAACTTTAAAGGTATCTATGGCAAGGTATATGTGGTTTCTGACAAGAAAACCACTTAAGGGCAACATTAATCACTGATACCCCTTAGACATTCCAATCTGTAGGTTGTTTCCCAGCTGTCACTCAGCAGGAGATATTGCACAAGTTTTCTCAGTGAGACAAAATTTTTATGAGTGAGACCTACAAAATAGAGCTGTCATCTTGACAGAATGTAGAGCCAGTGTGTCCCTGTATTTGTTCTTACTGAGCTGTTTGGATTGGATTAAAAAAAAACTTAGCACAGAAGGGCAAAGCTTTCTCTGCCTCTGTAAGGCCCAAAGGGATTCACTTAGACCTTCCTATCTAGTTACTTATCTGTTTACCTGTTTGTTTAGCTGTAGTTTAATGAGTGTCTCAACAGCATCACAGCAGCTTCCGGAGGTGATACACAGTCTAAGGACTGTAATAAACTCAGAGTGCTGTGATCTTCATTTTTTCCTAAGTATTAGACTTTATTGACAAAAAAGAAGAGTACCTAAATCTTCGAGAATTCCTGTTTCAAGATATAAGCATATGCCTCCATATGAGTGATGTGTGTCAAAATCAGCATCTTATCACATTATTGAGTTTTCACCAAACTGGGAACTGAGGGTCTCTGTGCTTGGTAAAACATGGATGACTCAAAAGCCACACTTCAGTCTGTGCTTTCACCTCCAGCAACTTGCAGCACAACAGTTCTCTAAGAAAAACTCAGGCAAGGCCACACTGCTGTGCTGCATCAGGTGAGCTTTTTGTCACAAATTGGCTGAACTCCTAAGCTGAACAGTACAAAACTGAAGTGCGTACAAAAATAAGTTTATCAAGGTGAAGGTCCAGTCATTTTTCTTGATCTGTTTGAATATGGAAAACCAGAGAAGGCACAGATATAGTATCAGTAAAGGAAGAAAGAGGTTTAACTTCAAGGATTTTGCATTAGTCTCATTATTAATTAATATTACCTTAGTATTAATTAATGCCAATTAATTTGTACTTGAAATTATCTTGTATGGAAATCTAATCTAAATATCCTGAATGACTACTGATCACATTGCTATGAGCAAAATACCTACTTTCTACTGTTGCAAGGTGACTTGATGGGTGCTTGCATCATTTTCCAGTCTTACATTTCTGCACATTTCAAGTCCATTCTCCAAAATGCAATTTAAAATGAATCCCTGTTCTTAGTCTTGAGGGTTTTTCTGTGAGCATCACAGTACTCTTCACATTTAGAGTATCATTTTTAAATGGGTTATAAGTATACATACTTAAGATTTTTATAGAGTGATTGCTCAGTTGCAGTTGCAGAAGTTTTTAATTCAGATTTCTGACTTGTGTTGTGTGGTTCAGTTTTTAGTTTCCCCATGTCTTGCACATGGATTATTTGTCTAATATCTACTTTAGTTCAGATTCTGTACAAACACAGAGAGACCGTATATGGTCTCCATTTTTGATGAACAAATATCTTCTCTTATCAGAAGTTTATATATGAATGAAAGAGAAGACTTTTTTTTTAAATATACCGTGGGTACTTCAAAGCATACAATTGCTGGATTTTATAAATGTACCATTTATGTTGTTGTATCATATACTTAATACGTGTATAATACAATGCAATAAGCGATTGCTGGAGTTTGTTTGTTTTCTTTCTGGAAAAGTCTTTTTTCTCTTTCCTTCTCTGTCTTTTCAATCCAGACTTCCTTTGTGAAAGGCTGCTAGAATTCCAGTACACTTCTGACCTTGTCCATGACTTTCTCACATGCCTTTTTGCCCACTTGTGTTGTCCTCAGCAGGAGCTGCAGATGTTCAGGTTAATAATCTGGAAGAGTCTGGTATAATGACAGCAATGTAAGATGAGAGCAGTTTAATTAAGAGATAGCTTAGAAAGACAATTTGAAGACGAGAGGGTACACTGATATTCCTGGGAGAGTAGGGTCTTAGTTGAGGTGTACAGGCAACAGTCTGGAAGTTGTAATGATAGTAGATGGTATACTTGAACATGGACAAGTAGGTGTGTCTTAAATTCGGATTTCTTTTCTTTTTGAAGGATTCAGAGCATGTGACTTTCCCTACTGGTATCAACTTCAACGGTTTAACTGCATATTTTTTCAGATTTCTTAGGATTTGTCTGTTTGTTATCTTGACACTTCATCTGGACTGTGTGTGCAATGCACACTACCCTGCCTAGAGGAAAGTGTATTCAGACAAAAGTATGGCTGAGGACAAAGTGTGTACAGAAGCAGCCAGGGTGGCTGGGGGTGCACAGGAGCCTGTGGGTTCCCCTCTGTGTGCTGGCAGTAGTGCCGACCTGGAGACACTTAAAAGTGCAAGTTCCCAGCAGAAGTGAGGGCATGTTTTATCTTTGTCAGCTGCTCTACATGGAGTCCTATCTGTTTGTTAAGGTTTCTTGTGATTAGGCTAATCTGCCTGAAAAGTGTTGTTCCTGTTAGATCCTGTTCCCATCAATCAGGCTTCTGGGAGCTGAGTTGCAGCCATTAATCAGACCCACATGTACTTGCCACATACCATTCAGCCTACTGTGCTTCACACTGCTTTAATTTCCAGTTAAAAATGCATGTCTTCATTGAGATAGCAATAGTGTTTCATTGCAAATAATAACCAAGCATTTGCTGGCTTCTTAGTGCTCTTCTTTGCAGTCAAGGTAATTTCCATGTTGTGTCATTACTATTGATAATAGTTATCAAGCGGGACCTTCAGAGGCTGTTCTTTTACCTCACCCATTTCCCTTGATGGTCAATTGAGCAGTGGATATTCGTGATGTGTTACTATTGCAGAAACACCTGTGATCACTCTTGGTAATAATTATACTCATACACTGTGAAAATTCAGTGTCCAGTAGATGTAATTATGATAGTAACAGGGTTCAGCTTGTAGCGTTGCCTAATTGACTTGAGCAATTCTCAGACTGTAACATTTGTTTCAATATGGTTATCTTGTTGAGAGGTAAGGGGAACCGTAGTCTTTCTACAGATAATACATGCAATTGATATTAAAAATATATCACAGTTCCACTAAATATTTATTCCCTTAAGCTTCAGGTGTGTTTTTTATAGTACTAAAAGGGTAAATAAATATACTAATAAAACGAAATTAAATGAAAAGTAACTTAATTCCAAAGACTCATAGTTGTTATTCTGAAATAACTTCCATAATTCCTTGTTTCCTCGTCTTTGAATGACCATTTTTTTCTTCTTTATGATAAATTTTCTTATTTTGAAATCTGAGGGAGGAAAAAGTCCATTTTGACATAGTGTTAAAATAGCCCTTCTCTCCAGGTTTAAAACTGAGAATATCTCTAAATGGATTTTTTTTTTCATGTAGACACAGCTGGCAGGTTTGTGAAACTTTGCATAAACTTTATCTTCTTTATTGAGAATTGGTCATCAGGGGAGTTTAAAGAACCTCATGGGATGTTATCAATAGGCTGTAGGAGACCTGAACAAAACTTCACCTATTCAATACATCACTGGACACTGCACATCCAGCTGTCTGCTTTCATACTGTTTTCTCTCACCCATGAGAGATTTGTGAATGTCTCCATGTATTCTGTGAAGCAATATCTTCCAGAAAATCTCAAGAGGCAGAAAATTGCAGGTTGATGTCACTTGAGAGATTTAGCAATTTTTGTTGAATTTACATTTTCAATATTCTTCTAAACAAAAGAGCAAAATCTTGGCACAATATAGCCTGGAAAGACCAATGTTAGACAGAAAGACAAGTAGAATATACCACAGTTAGCAATTATTGGCTTCATGTTGCAGTGAAGAAATCTGTGTGGGCAGTGAATCAAAGAAGAAAGATGTAAAATCTGTACTACTTTCCCTAGACTTATATGTATTGAAGTGCTTTCAGTAATTGTTTCAAATACAACAGATGCTTATTGATTAAATATCAGCTTCAAAAACACATACTGAAGATAACCTAAAAAAATTGATCAGATAAAGTCAATTAGACTTTAAAGTCTAATTAATGTCTAATGCTTTAAAGGAGCAAATTTATATATGTAAAAAAAATGTAGTTTTTATTTATTTCCTTTCTAGTGGAGTCTAAAAATGGCCCAGCTATTCTAATCGCATGCTGAGTGGACTGCAAAGAAATGTAAATTAGAGCAGAAAAATAAGGAATTTGTATAATATTCGTAATAAATTTAAAACATGGAGTATGTTCCTTTTTTGGCCCAATAACATATCCAAATTATCACTGTGTGATAGTAGCACATTTTGATAATATGTCCTCCCTTTTTTAATATCTATATTAAAGAATCAGGTATCTGATAGTGTGAGGAGACATGATGAACAAATGTAATATATATGGAATTTAGCATTATTAATTTTTGTGGGTACATTGGGTAGATAGTAGTAGTCCAGGGGTGTGCAAACTGTTACAACTTAGCCATAAAGTTTCCATCTAAATTAACCTGCAAAAGTACCAGATTTGCATTAACCTGCGGAAAAATAAAAATTATATAGTGTCACTTTCTTTCCCCTTTGGCTGGTAGGATCCCATATTTCTATGGAGGCACTTAATCCAGAAATTTGTCCATCTTAGCCTCCAAGCAATTATTTAGAGAATGTTCCATTTTCAAAGTCTAAGTCCCTATAAAGGAGAATTGTATGGCACATTAGGAGAATTACATCAAGCTATTATAATTATTGCTGTTGGAAAGTGGTTCATTCCTGGTTATATGTTCATGGGGTGTTCTGTTTCGTGTTTAATTTTTTTTTTTTCTTTCACTTCCAGGAGCTGGAGTTTTCTAACCTGTTTGCAGTTCTTCACTGTATTCACTCATTCTTTGCAGCCAAAGTGGCTTGTTTGGACCCTTTGTTTGTAGGCAGCCAAGCCACAGCTTCTGCTGCTCCCACAACTTCTGGTACTGGCAAATTAAAGTATACTACTTGACATCCCCCATGACAGCACTGCCACTTAACAACGAGACATAAAAATGTATAAATATTCGTAAGATTTAGACCTTTGGTGAACCATGTATGTGGAAACCAATCCTGGAGGCAAGACATCTTGCAGCATCAGCAGATAAATGGTCACGTGGGATCATAATTTCATCTCGGTTCTGCAAGACATCAGTAAATAATCCTAGTCAAAACCCCAGAATAGGATGGATATGCTTTTAGTATTATCTATTTGTACTTACATAGTGCTTTAAGCAACATTGGAAGCAAAGGAATAAATGGCGAAATGAAGCACTTGAGTATTTAATAAAATTTTCAAATTGCTGTAATAATACACAAATAGAATTGTCATTTTCCTCTTTTCAGATGTTTTTATGACAATATACTAAACTCCGAGTATGAACATAATACCCTATCATTATATTATAAATGAGAGCAAGCATATAGTACATGGTGACAAAGGAGATAAGCATGAAAAGACATTTGTGTAGGTACCTCCTCAAATACGAAAGCACTTTAAGCACTGGTGTAAATCCATACTTGTGTTCATACATGGAGTCATGCTACTTTTTCCATTTTGTTCTCTTCATCCGACAATAACAGCAGCAAACATATAACCATACTGATTTGATTCATTAAAAACAATACAAAACAAACAAACCATCGTAAGAAAAAACTCTTTTTCATGGATAAGTCCCTCAAGTAAAGCTAATGGCATATTAATTTAATTTTAATTATAAATTAACTGCAAGTCCAAAAAATAGTGTGTCATCTATTTATTTCTTCCTTTCTTTTGTTAATAATTAAATACAATAAATCTAACAGTCTTTGTTCACAAGATTTTGAAATTGTTTCAGACAACCCACCTAATGCATTGTTTCCATGGTAAACCTTGATTTCACATCATAGATAGAACTTATGTTCCATTTAAACTCTCAACAAATAGACATTTTGCATTATGCTTGAAAAAATATTTTACCCTTTGAATTCTTAATAAGTTATTATATATATATATAGAGAGAGATAGATAGATAGATAGATAGATAGTAAAAGACAGGAATAATTTGAATAAGCTATAAAGAATACACTACAGAATGCATAATTTCTTTTCTTTTTAAGACCATTACATCTCTCTGGATCTAGTTTCACGGTATCATTTAATGATGAAATATAAAGGACTTGTAAATTTAAAGTTAATAACTGTGTTTAATTGCAGTTTTATAATATAATTTAATTTTGCACTATGACACACACCAGTGAAGATGAAGGAAAAAAGGTATACATTTTCAGTAGTAGTTTTTGGGATTTCTATTTATTGTATTGAAATCAAAACTACTTTTTGTTTCCCCCTCCACTTAGACTTGTTAGAAGCACTTATGAGATAGGGCCACCATCTTCCTTTTTTAGCAGAAACCCCTTTCTATCACATCCCTTGCTATGTGTTAAGGTGATTAGTACTTCAAAAGTGAAGCCAGAGGAGAGCTTATCCAAACAGGAAAAATTCAAAATGCAAGGCACGGACAAAAGATGAATGAAATGTAGGAGCAAAATATGTCTCTGTTTTTTTGCTTTGCATTAGAAATATTTGGATTTGCATATGTGAGAGTAACATTGTTTTGAAGTATAGCTGATCTAATTTGATACTAGTTCCAAATAATCTGAAAATATTTGGGGGAGGGGAACTCTTTTATCACTTTCAAACAGAAAGAAGTACACACCTACTTCCTATTAGTATACTTCCAAGGGCTACACATTTATTTTCCATCCAAAATTTAGTGGAATGTTGTAACAATCCTGCTATTAAATACTACAGCTATTAAATAGAGTACTAAGTAGCATCAAAATCAAACCTTTTCATAGTCACCGTCATGAACTTTTTAATAAGAATTGTCCCTAAATTAGGAGGTGACATCTGAAGGACAGCTAAAACTACCATGGTTGTATATAGGATCTCGAGCTTGGGACACAAGCACCAGATATTTTGAATCTAGAGCTATAACAGTTTAAGAGCTTTGACAATGGTAACTCAGGCACTGCCCTTGTCTAAAAAGCATATATTGGAAACACAAATTTTGGCAGAGCGTTGACAGTGCTGAAAAGAGAAGCCTGATATATTTCAATGGCAGTTCTCAGTGGTCCCAAATAACCTCCTCCATTTCAGTGCATTGCTGTGGCATTCAGCTGTCACAGCAGTGTGGCCGTGTGCTACCACCTCTGCTGGCTATAGCAGAATCTGAATCTGGTCAGCTGCTGGTTGAGTGTTTTTCCTTTCAGCTGTTCATGTGATGTGCAGTTTCATCACTGGATCTGGGGGGTGTTTAAGAGACATGCTTGAATGAGCGTAACATTTACCCAAACCAGCACAAAGTATGTCATTGCAAATTTCTGTAGATGGAGGAATTCTATTATATGAAAGCCCCCCGCAAAGAATTTAAACAAAAATGCTCATTGTGTAGAATGGAGTTAATGGCATGAACTTCTGGGACTCTACCAGGGTATCGTGAAGATCTCTTTAAATCATTCTGTTTGTAGAATACCTGCATTCATCACTGACACTTTTGCAACTAGGAATTAAATACAGAACATTTAAGAAACACATTAGCCTCTAAATTGTTTTTGTTGTAGTTGTTGTTTTTCTAAGGAGATAAACTGATGGGACTTCATCAATACTTCGCTTTTCAAGCAGAAAAGCATTATTGAGAGAATATAAGATGTCATAGCTTTGACTGAAGGTCAGTGTTGATTTGTAAATGCAGCAGGCATTTGTGCAGTGACCTCTCAGAATATTCAGAGGTGACTCGGCATCAACCTTGTCCTTGTAGAGCAAATGGGTCAGAAATTCAGTCTTGAACCAAAGAGGCAAAATTTTAAATTCTGTGTTATAACTAATCCTGAGGTACCAAAATAAAATTTGCAAACATATTAAATGGCTACATTTTACATTTAAATACCTACATTTAAAGCATAGTGAACTCCATATGCATATGTCAAAACTCAGGCTTTATGTTGCAGCCTGTCATTTCACACGTAACATATAATGATACAAGTGTTTTGTAAGTCAACACAGCCCATTGACAAGGAAAAAACAGAATTATAATGAGCCATCAACTTTTGCTAAAAATCTGTATTCAAGTGAAAGAAAATATTTTAACAAGAAAGAGTAAAGAAACAAATCTGTAGCATAATATGTAATTTGTTCTCTTTATGTCATGATATTTTCAAGTAAGTTTAATAAAGAAAATTATTTATAGTACTGTGCCTATTGAAGTGATGTTATATAGTATACCAAAAATATGTTCTCTTAAGTATAACTAAATATATTTAGATTGATTTAGTTTGCTTTATGATGGGAATTTAGATTATCTGATCTTCACAGAATTAATCATATGCTAGGTTATAGTGTTAGCATAATTTTATTATGGAAGCGTTACCAATTTGAATACATTTATTCTTGATTTCATCAATAAATGAATATGTTTCATTTTTCTACATCTTTTAAAAATTACAGTTCCAGATTTTCAAAAGACCGTTGCATTCCAGTAGCACAAAGGCACCTTTGAAATAAAAATCAGCATATTTTAAGCTGTTGGCCATTTTATTATGTTAATTAAGTCCATCACGAACTTTGTGGAGAAGAGCTAGTTGTAAGTGAGCTATTTTTTTAAACCAGTCATTTAAAGTTCTGTCGATTCAAACTAGAATTCTTTAAAGTGCAAACCAATAATCTACAGTATCAATATGCTTTGAGAAAAGAATCATGAAAAATCTTGTTTTCTAAATTAGTTCTTGAATCCACAAAATTATATTTATTTATTTTAAATGTGGAGACTTATCAGAACACCTCAAAGTGCACAGTTAAACGCTGCAGCCTGCTACTTTAAATGTGATTTGTTTTATTCAATGCCTTAAGACGTTTCCTGTATCAAAAAAAGGTTAAAAAATATTTGAGATCTTGAGAATGTAAAACTGCTGGCCTTAGAAATTCAGATCAGTTTTCATTCTTCCTTGGCAATTCTAAGAAAGATTTTGGAAATTTTATTAACATTGAAAACACAAATCTCTGCATTTCACTTTCTATTTCTTTATGTGGTGGTCTGGTCTCTGAAAAAGTCTAATGTCTGAAAAAAGTTAAAGCTGATTTTAAAAAGCTCTGTTTCAGGCAGTTATGAGTCTGAGCTTAAGACTCACACATCTGACCAGTTCAGTATGATTGGAAACATGAAAGACTCACTCAAGTTCTCAAAATTTAAGTACCTGTCTTAGATGCCTGAAGTTGCACTTCAGGCACTTCAAAAGGGAAACACAAGGTGGGAATAGAGTTTAAGATCTCTGAAGGTGCACATGTATGTGTCTCTCTTTCTGTTTCTCTAAGGAGCTAGAAGTGCTTCTACTTTAATGTTTTCATTTTATCAGGAATGTGCTTTATAAGCCGGACTTCTGCCTATAGCTACTCATGCAATTCTTCTTATCACAGAGCAGTCCTCAAGCACATGAGCTGTTTCTTTCAGGATGACACTAAGCAAGCATCCCAGTTCCAGGTCCTGATGGGCATTCAGACCCTGCAGCCCAGCTGAAATGAGTCCAGAGGAAAAAACCCTCTGAGATGCCATCAGCAAGACTGCCAGGTCCTGGTGCAGCCATTTCTGTAGCTGTGGCAGCTGCTGCTCGTGGACTATTATGGAGAAAAAGCTGAGCTTCACAGTGTAGCCCCCTGGAGCTCAGTACCTGAAAGGGGATGCTGTGCTGCAGCAAGGGGCAGAATGAAGCTGAAAAAGGCTGATGCTGCCCAGGCAGGTTATTCTGCATCAATTTTTGCCTCACCACACCAGGACAGCATTAGTTGCAAGCAGGCTACCCCATGGTGGTCAGCCCTCTCGCTCCTGCATCTTTCTCCTCATCTTCTACAAACACACACCTGAATATTGGCCCTGGGATCCTCAAGCACACTTCCATGTTCACTCACTCCCATTGCTCAGATGGAAAATTGTGCTTAGCTACATAATGGAGCCTGTAAACCTTGTACATGGGCAGGGAACAGTGTTAAGGATTATGGCAAGAGCATAAGAGTGCTTGAGTGTATGATTAACTTTCAGCAACTTTATAGCAAATAAAGTCATATCTGTGCTTAAGTGCTTTCCTGACTTGGAGGGTTGTTAAGTGGGATTATTTTATTTTCCTGGAATAAGTTCTATAGTGTCCACACATTTCTACTTGCTTGGCTCCATTTTCAGGAAGTTTAGCAGAGACAGTGATTCATATTCTCTCGGAGTCATAAAGAAAAAAACATTGGAATACTAGAATAAAAAGAAATTTCTGTTCAGATTCTGTATATTATTACAGTACCTTGCATACTTTACTGAAATATATTGAACAATGTAAAAACAAATTCTTTAATTTGCATTTCCTTGTCAGTTTTCGCTGTGGTATACATGCCTTCCACTTTCAACAACTTTCTCCACAGGAATCCCAGATGTCTGTTATAGAAATTATTTTGCTATCCAGTATATACTAATATATA